TATAAGCTGCCCGTCTTTGAAAAGTCACTCTAAATAAACAACACGCTTTTGAGGGGTTTTCTTTTCAAATATTGTTAAGTAACTTCTACACATTAAAAAGCAAAAAGTAAAGGTAGACTTTCAAGATAAACAAGACATTGTGCTTTATATTTTACACACTTCTCGGTAATAAATATTTTCAGTATTTAGACAATTAGCATGTTAAAATGATTTGGCAAACTAATTAATTACAGTATTTTATTTCAATCTAATGAATTTTTTGAAGTAAAGAAAGAAATCCATATATCCAAGCTGTGTATGATTTGACATTGGAATGGACACGTAGAAACGGGTAATTTTTGAAAATAATGTTTCTATTACGGCAAAAAAATTTTATAAAATATATACGAAATAGATTTACTCTACTCTCTTATTTATCTAAAAGTATATTCAAGTTAAGTGAATTATCTTGTTCTTTTGTAGTTCTCCATGGCTTTATTCAGATTTTATTTATAATCTAACAAAAGGTGGAAAGAAATTCAAGGAAAATTGTGATTTTGTGCATAAAGTAGCAGATGACGTCATTGAAAAACGTCGCCAAGCTCTGGTAGGTGACTTTTTTCAAATGAAATGAAATAAGTATGGGCGTTTTTTTATGCCCCACCTATGATTTTTGGATAAACAAAATGTATTTGTTAATTTAATTTATGCACATGTTTTTCATGATTGTGTAATGCTTGTCATTTTGTATAAATAGCTTTTTTGCATGATTTCTTTTGTCATTAATTATTAGATCAAAATAAATGATATTTTTCAATTCAAACTATCATCATTGTTTTTGCAATATCAAACGAAGAAAAACTATTGTCAGTGTATTTGCATAAAATATTTTTGAAGCTTCAGAAAGATGACGAAGTTTCATCAAAGAAATACCTGGACTTTCTCGACATTTTATTGACTGCCAGAGACGAAGATGGTAACCGTATGTCAAAGGAAGATATACGTAATAAAGTGGACACATTTATGTTTGAGGGTTTGCTGTTAACATGTTTATTCCAAATTAGCATAAATATTTATATCAGCTGTATATCCAGAGACAAGAATTATCAAACTCTATTGCTGTCTCTGGCAACACAACAAAGCAAAGATTACATAATCAAAATTAAAATATTCAAATTCAGGTTCAAAGTTCATAGTACGGAGGTCAAAATTCACAAATTCCATCTCACAAGCGATAAAAACCTTGACCCTGCGAGGTGCAGAAGTCAAGCACTTATTTACATATATCTAAATCCAAGGTTTACTTTTAATTTTTCATGAATTACATCACTGCGTATAAGGATAGTTACTTAGTGCCGCTCGTTTGCGCACATCTCAGCTGGAAAAGAAAAGTAGAGTCAGATTCTATAAATCCACATTATTTTTTGTGTACTGCAGGAATGATGCAAGGTTTGCTCTTTAGAATAAAAATTAATCTCTTTCACATCTTAAGGTATCCGACCCATGAAAGGACATAATTTTCTAATCTTAAATATCCATCTCGTATTGAAAACTCTGAAAGAAGGATATGGAGATAATCAACAGTATTCAATATCAAAGTCCAGAAAACAATACAAAATAGGAGTAGAGCAAACACAGACCTCCGAAACATCAGAGGTTTGATCAGATGCCATGAAGGAGTGAGCATCCCTGCTGATCGACCACACCCGCCGTGTGCTCCTTGTCGTGACCGGCAAATAACGGGAAAATCCGTCGTCAATACAGTATATAAATAATGGACTAATGAAAAACGCCAGTAAGCATTTGTCTCAATGTTAAATTGTATTTGCTGACAAGGTCATTGTATCGTCCATAGAATTTACGAAATGGACTTTAAACGAGACTGTTGTGAACTAATTCAAAGCAGTTAGAGTAGAAGAGGATTTACGAGGAGAAATTTTCAAAAATATGATTACCCAAGTAGTAATTAATAAATTAAGATTGCATTGAGGTCTATGGGAACAGCTAATTTTTTTAGATAAAAAATTGAATACTATGAATTACAAAAAAATGATATGGTCGAAAGATGTATGTAGTTATTTTTAGAATAGAAAACGATTAAAAATTAATTTTTCAGCAGATAGATTTTTAAAAAAATGAATCTTATTAATTAAAAGCAAAGGGGGAAATTCTTCAAAGACGGGTCAAGGTAAAAAATTAGGACACGTTCCGCTCTTACATATTGACACTAAAACACCGAGTATTCAGCCAATATATACTAGTATCTGTTATGCATTCAGATTCATTGAATTTGAGGCTATTATGGATAGGATACCTTAAGACATGCAAGTTGGAACAAAGAATATACATAGCTGTTCCTTAGATCATATCCAATGAATTTCTTGAAAGCCCAAAATTTTGTGAGCTTGAATACTTTTGGCTGGTTCCTTCTGTTGTTTCATTTGTCGATAGTTTTATCTCAAAAGTCCAACATGTTGAAGTAATGATTGGGAATTTAAATATGTCATGTTTAGATTTATATCTGCTTTGAGTCTTCATCTAAAAATACAAGAAAAAACAAAAAAAAAACCAGTATCTATTCTAAATGGATATTGTGGGTAGGTGTTTCAGATGAATAATACACAATAACAAGAACAAAATTTTTTACCGACCCAAATCAATGCTGGAAAAATAAAAAGGAAGCTTCAACCAAAGCGCCCTAAAGTGTTTATTTTAAATGGGACAATATCAACTAAATATTTAACAAGGAAGATAACAATTAAGAATAAGTACTGAGATTAAGGTAAGGCATGTATGCATTTTATTTCGATAACAACATCTAATTCAGGAGGAATTATCTGTGAATAATAAATCAGAGAGTATCGTGCCTGTATCATGTAAATGAAAATTTTAAATGCCACAGTTTCTTTCGTTTTAATTAGTTGCATTGAGGTTCCTCGATAAAAGTACCTTCGAAATTTTTTTTTTTTTTTGCAATATGAAGTTTGCAAATTTCAATGACTGAAACGGTACATACCAATTAATATGTGATAAGTTATGAACATTTGAGCAAAACAAGTACAAGTTAAACATTTTTGGAGAAAGAAAACTGACATACGGCCTTATGTGTTAACATTTAAGGAATGTTTTAAAGTTTTGTGTGTTATTGGTGTGTAAATCACACAGACTTGTCAACTAGGCATATGCCTATATGCAAGTAGCGCGCTTCATGAAATATGCCAAGGTGACAAGTCACACGCCAATAACCCTCACAAAACTTAAAAAAACATTCCTTATATTTACATTTTACATGTTGAAAACACCAAAACTATATACTCAAAATATGAATTTCTTGCTGTCCTATATCGTTGCATTTTTACTAAAATGAATGAAGCTGTGGTCTCATTGAGACGTAACGTTAGCGCGAAATTCTCCGTGTTTATTTCTACGCGTTAGTAGTATACACGAAAATTGTTTTAAAGTAAATTTCACAGTTGACTTAGAAGAAAAACACATAGAATTTTGCTATTTGCTTTGAATTAATTAATCTTTTCTGCTTTTGTGTGCATTATGTATGCTAGAAGTACATGTAACATTTCAGCTTCATCGTCAAATTTGTTAACTAGTAAAATGGCTTACCTTAAACAGGTCATGATACCACAGCTAGCGCCATCTCTTGGATCCTGTATTCCTTGGCAGAGCACCCGGATCATCAGAAGCAATGCCAGGAGGAAATTGACAGGGTTGTCAGTGAAACCAAGTCTGGAGAACTCGAATGGTATTACTTTAAGACAAATGTCAGCTTTTCCCTGGGAGAGAGAGAGAGAGAGAGAGAGAGAGAGAGAGAGAGAGAGAGAGAGAGAGAGAGAGAGAGAGAGAGAGAGAGTCTGGAATTCATGAATAAGATTATGTAATTAATTTGTAATAATAGTTCTTTATAAACGTTTCATTTTCCAACAGAAATGAATTCAAGCAATGCATATACCAATGTAAATATAAATATTTAATATCAAAATATTAATTCAGGAAGGATCTAGAGAGATTGGAGTACCTTACACGATGTATCAAAGAAGGAATGCGGCTACACACACCTGTCCCTTTGATCATTAGAAACAATCAGTCTACTATCACTGTGGATAATGAAGTTGTCCCAGCTGGAAGTACGATACTCATCAATATTTACAGTTTACACCACAATGCTGAAATTTGGGGAGAGGACCACATGAAATTTAAACCTGAAAGGTTCACAAAAGAAAATATGGAAAAGAGAGACTCGTTTGCATTTTGTCCATTTTCCGCTGGTCCCAGGTAAACTAAGTATAATTGATAATAGTTTTATTTTTTCCTTATTCTTTGTAATGATTGACTTAGTACATGACAGAATTCAAATTTTATCATAAATTACAGAAACTGTATAGGACAAAATTTTGCCATGAGCGAGGAAAAGATAGTTTTAGCAACTCTTCTTCAAAGGTAAACTCGGAAAACAACTATGAAAGATGTTATACATTTGTTGGCATTTTACTGACTGTTTGCTTTTCATTAAGTGTTAGTTTATTATTAATAACAAAGTGTTTTAGTTGAAGTGTTGAAACTAGAAAATTTTGAGTAATTATATATTTATAAACTGTCCTTAAGGTTTACGTTTACCGTGGATGAAAAACACATTGTTGAGAAGCAGGTGTTAGTAGTAATGCGAGCTAAAAATGGCATTAAACTGTTTGCTATTCCAAGGTGAACTACGTCTCCACTGTCAACTTCAATGCTGATGTCCGGTTGGCCAGATGGACATTCAAAGTTCTTCTTGTATGAAAATGAACCTCAATTTTTTTTACGATAAATATGGGAAGAAAATATTTAAAAATAAATAATGTCATAAGTTTATCCTTAAATTTTAAAAGTATAATAAAAAAAATATTCAAGATAAACTTGTTTTTATTTTTGAGTTCTTCAAATTTACATGACGGACCTGTATGAAGGGATACGGGGAAATTAAATATAGCATTATAGTATACAGGGCATCGTTTTCCAGAAACAAATTATCCGGAACTTCACTTTCCGGACGATTTGCTTTTCAAACAGAATTATGATTTATGTCTACAAATAGTAATAAAATATTTTTTTCTTCAACCGGGACCTTCATTAATAGGGAAAATTTTGTTGGGAATACAAAAACCGCGATTTTGGAGGCTTGACTGTATACATATTGAAATTATATCGAAATATTAAGTGATAAAACAGCACATTCCGGTACCTTTTGTACGGTAGAATTAATTGAAGCTAAGATTATTAGATTCTAAGATTCTGAGTAAACCTTTCAACATCTAAATAGAATGAATAATCTACAAAAAAATATCAAATGGATATTACCTAGACAGATCTATATTCTTCAGCACATCTTTTTTCTTATGTATGACCATATGGGCGTACTTTTCATCATCTACCAACTGATGAATTTAGAACACTTTAATTTCTGTTTCTGAACATGTTTTTGGTAAAAAGACATAAATTATGTATAGAGCTTGAGATTCTTTTATGCGTCGACATTTAAAAAGACGGTACGCTGCAACTCGCAGAAGGATAAAACGTACGCTCAACTAGGACATCGGGTCGCCCGCAAATAGTTCGTCATTTTGCGTAGTAATAAAATTAACATTTTAGGAAATCTTCAGGCATTAAAGGCACAAAAGTAAATTCATCGATATCAATACGATACGGTGACCTCAGGTCACCTTATATATGGATTGAATTTTATATGATAGAGAGTTTTCTTTGTCTTACTCCAAAATAATAATATTTATTACTTTATACAGATCTACTTTCTAATATATATATTAGCAGAAACATGAAAGTAATTAGGGGGACCAGAGAAACCTTATATTATACATCAGTAGGGGGACCAGTGGTCACTTTATATTGAACATCATTAGAGGGATCATAGGTCATCTTACATTTTAAATTGATAGGGGGCCAATTTTTATTTTTATTGCACATCATAAGGGGGACCAGAGGTCACTTTATATTGTACACCAATACCGGGACCAGTGGTCATCTATTATTTGTACTGTACATCAGTAGAGGGAACAAAGATCACCTTATATATATTGTCCATCAGTAGGGGGACCAGAGGTCAGCTTATAATGTACATCAGTAGGGGTACCAGAGGGCAACTAATAATGTACATCAGTAGGGGGACCGGAGGTCACCTTATATTGAACATAAATAAGGAGACCAGATGTCACCTTACATTGAACATCAGTAGGGGGACCAGAGGACACCTTATATTGTACATCATTTAGGGGACCAGAGGTCACATTATATTGTGCATCAGTACGGGGACCAGAGGTCACCTAATATTGTACTGTACATCAGTAGAGGGAACAAAGACCACCTTATATATATATATATATCACCTTATATTGTACATCAGTAGGGGGACCAGAGGTCACCTTATATTGTACATCAGTAGGGGGACCAGAGGTCACCTTATAGTGTACATCAATATGGAGACCAGGGGTCACCTTATATTGTACATCAGTAGGGAGACAAGAGGTCACCTTATATTGTACATCAGTAGGGGAGGTCACCTTATATTGTACATCAGTAGGGGGATCACCTTATATTGGGGGACACACCTTATAATGTACATCAGTAGGAGGACCAGAGGTCACATTATACATGTATTGTGCATCAGTACCTTATATATGTACTGTACATCAGCAGAGGGAACAAAGACCACCTTATATATATATTGTACATCAGTAGGGGGACCAGAGGACACCTTATATTGTACATCAGTGTATATATTGTACATCACTAGGGGGACCAGAGGTCACCTTATATTGTACCTCATAGGGGGACCAGTACACCATATATTGCACTTTACATCAGTAGGGGAACCAGAGGTCACCTTATATTGTACATCATTAGGGGACCAGATGACACCTTATAGTGTATATCAGTAGGGAGACCAGAGGTCATCTTATATTGTACATCAGTAGGGGGATCAGAGGACACCTTGCACTGTATATCATTAGGGGGACCAGAGGACACCTTATACTGTACGTCAGTTGGGGATCAGGGGTCACCTTCTATTGTACATCAGTAGGGGGATCAGAGGGCACCTTAAACTGTACATCAGTAGGGGGACCAGAGGACACATTATACTGTACATCAGTTGGGGGACCAGAGGACACCTTATATTGTACATCAGTAGCGGGACCAGAGGCCATCTTATACGAGGGTTGTTCAATAAATAAGGTCCTCGGTGCTCGGAATGAAGCAAAAGACGATTTTCAATAATTTAGTCATAATGATTTAACCTAATATTATCTTTTAATTAAAACACACGTCTGTAACATTTTTTATCCAATTTCTGATTGTTTTTTAGGACTCATTTTTTTAGGTATGACTTTTTGTATACTGGATTATGGCAGATCCTATGATTTCCTCGGATTGTTTCTTCCCTTTGAAAGGCGTTTTTTGAAGTTTGGAAAATGATGAAACAAGTCAAGAGGCGAATGATCTGGCGAATATTGTTAATGCGAAAGAACATTAACTTTCTGTTTATCCCCAAGACTCCTTCACTCTTCAGGGCGTGCGGGTTTGGACGCTGTCATGAAAAAATCTAATATAGTGGTTCCTGATTCTCATTAACCTTTTGATTTTTTTGCAAAAAATTTGCTTTTTAGATTCCTCCAGATATTAAACTGCCTCCCCGAATACGAATTTGAACTACAAGACCACTAATATTTAAGAAAATTGCATATAAATCTGTCTTTGTGCTCTTGCAATTCTTTGCTCTTCTCAGGTCTTTGCTGACTTTGTCAAGTACATCTTACTGTAAATTTTGTTTTGAGGATTTTAAGCAATAGATTTAGGTTTCATTATCTGTTTGAAATTCAAGCAAACGTGGATAACTACAATTACTGATATTTTTTTATTAATTGTTTAGATATTCTTACACGCAATCGTTTTCACTACTTTTTAAAACATAGGTGACTTTTGAGTACTAAGCTTTTTTTTTTTACTGTCAAACGTTTCTTTAAAACAGTGTGAACTACTCCCGAAATGATGTTTATCAAAGAACTATATGCGGTATATTGCATATATTTGCCCCCAATTTTGAAAACTTCCTGAAATGTGCTGAATTCAATAAACTGTATGAGAAATATAATTTAACAGAAAATATTATAGTGTCAAAGCAGTGTATTCACAATTTTTGTTTTTATGACGTCACAAACTAGTCCGATTTTATATCCTTTTTCAGAAAGAGGACAAAATGGACAAAATTTCAACAATTTTAGCTTTAAAATTTATAGAGCGCAAGTTTGTTCAGGAACAATTTTGGCAAATTTCATTGATATTATCGTTCTACACATTGTATCAAAATATTGATCCTGAACACACATGCGCTCGGTGACTTTTACTCAAAATATCGACGAAATATGTACATTTTTCTGTAAAATTCATAAAAAAACTGAAATTTACGTCATGTTTGTGGCGTCATTACGTACAGATGGCGTTTTTACTAATGAAAATATTCAGTGCTTTGAAGTCAGCATATACTCCCCTGTTTAAGAACTTAATTAATTAAATATATCTCCATCAAAGTTTGATTTGAGGGCAAATATTGGTTATTACCGAATAAAGTTCTTTACAATGTGTTGTATAGTCAATCAAACACTATCAGTGATTATTTGTTGAAATTGGCAAACAGTATACTAGTATTAGTTGTTTAATTTTTCGTTGGCAAGGACGGTATCCATTTTTGATGCCCATTATATAATTTTTTATCTTTTAAATCCACCTGCTCAATTGCCTATAAAACAGACAGTGGTTGCTGTAAATTATATATATTTCAGTGAGTATTTCTTTGGGATTCTTAACAAATTTTACAGCGGCTTTAATGAATGGTTTAATTTCACTCTAGTTTACCGATTCTTTTTTTTTAATGCAGTGTCTCCAATACCCTTGTTTTCCAGCTTCTCACAATGAAACTATGTGATGAAAAGTGGTCAAATAAACTGTTATAAATTCATCAAAGGTTCAATAATGAGAGAGAGTCAAGCTTAATGCCATATGATATCTGTATTGTATGTCACAGAGTTCAGGACATTATTTATTGAACATCCCTCGTTTTGTACATCAGTAGGAGGATCAATGATCACATTATTTTGAACGACAATGAAGAAATCGGAAGAAACTTTATATTTTACATCAATAATAAGACCAGAGGTCATCTTATTTTGTAAGTCAACAGGGTGACCAGAAAACAACTAATATTTTACATAAATATTGAGACCACAGGAATCCTTATTAGGTCACCTGAATCACCTCATGTGACTTATTGCAATTTTTTTCTGGCGTCGTGCGCTGTGCATTGTGCGTTAACATTTGAACATTTTCAGCTTTTCTCTGCAATCCCTCAACCATTTACAACCAATTTTGGCATAAAGCATCTATCGGTGAAGGGGAGATTTTTTAAATCATGGTCTCTGCCCTCCACCTCCTAAGGCAAGAAAGTAGGGGGCGAAACTACTACAATTTATGAAATCTTCAGAACTCTTCATTACTCATTGACATCAAGCCGTCGAACTGTTGGCATAATTATTATAAGCATTGACTCCTCTTCCAAAATTGTGAAATTCATTGTCCCAGGGTCAGGGGCCCTGGGGTTAGGACAGGGCTATAAAAATGTATATCGTGAAATGCATTTATTCTCCAAAGTTTTGAAATTCATGACCCAAAGGTCAGGGGTTCTGGTGATACGGTATAGGGCTATATAAATTGTGAAGTTAAAATTCATTGATTCTTTGAAAAATATTTATCTCTGCTCCTGGATATTAATTGCACTAACTATATAATTATAGTTATGATAAGCAAGGGAGCCTCTTCCAGTATTATAAATTTCAAGGCCCCTGGCTCATGGGTACCATTGATGGGTGGTGGCTCTTATTAAATACTGTAATTG